TAGAAGGCTCAATTCATGAATGGGTGACTGTCAGCACAGAAGCCTCTAGCCAATTCATCGGCCAGGCAGTTCCCAGGCCCTGAGATCGAGCCCCATATGTTGACCACATATTGCACTTAGTGTAGTTATTCGTTTTATTTTTTATTAATTTATTTACTATTTATTTTATTGACTGTTATTACACATGAAATATTTACTCCATATATTACATAAGATATAGATTTGCCTATGTATGTAACTTCATACCTTACAACCAGGACTTTCAAAGAATCAGAAAACATGTGTCACCATGGGATTCTTACTCCACGATTCAATTTTTGTGAGTGCTGGCATTAGAACTCAAAGCCTATAAGTCCCAATTCATGAATGGGTGAGTGTCAGCACGCCAGCCTGGGGCATATTGAGCTAACAAGCATTTCTAGCACCTGAGATTGAGCCCCAGGGGTTGACAAAATAAGAACAGATTGACATGCAGATGGTAGTACACAAGTAAATATAGATCTTTATAGAGTGCCAGTGATGTCTATACATTATTCCTGTATATAGACTGCATTCCTACCAATTCTTGGGTATTTATTATGCCTCCATGTAATTAGAATTCTTATTTTCATCCTTAATGAATTATTAATAAAGCAACAACTGTCCCAAAACTATTGCATCCATGTAATTAATACTATTCTTTGAATGTGTCAAAAATATTCATTAAAATCCATTGGTCACCTAAAATCACTCCATCTAATTGTATAGTAGTATTCAGAAACAACTAATTCAACTTTGCCATTCATAATCTTCCATCGGTAATCCTATGAATAGGAATGAGACTCTTAGTATCTCCCTCCATTGGTAGGGGTCAGGACTGTGCTTCAAACACATGGCCTATGTTGCTGTGTTGGCCTAAGGCTCCCCTGGTGGCCCACCAGCTTTCAGCAATGCCAGGTTACCAACATTTTGCAGCCGTGTCATTCAGTCCCAGAATTGTCACTTTGCAAAAAAACAAATGTAAAACTGGTAAGTTGCCAGTTTTTATTTTTCTGCGTCGCATTATTTCTTATTGTTTTCCTGTCAGCATTTGAGGCCCAGGAACCCAGGTTTGGCTTTGGGTCCAGTGGTTGCACCCCAGCCTAGAGTGATCAATGCTGAGGCAAAATTGCCACTACCTGAGATCAAGCCCTGTGCTTGAGAAAATAAAAATACATGCATACATACATATTTAAAATATTTTAATATTTAAAATATTATGAGGCTCCTTGGCCTGGAATTCAGGCCATTGTTTTTGCCAGGCCTGGGATTTGAACTCAGGATGTGGGTAAATCTGTAGCACTGTGGGGGATGGAAAGATCACCGGGCTGGAAGACAAGAAAGTCAGGCCTGTTCCCAGGGCCTGAATTCAAATCCTAGCACTTGAAAAAATAATATTCGTATATATTTGAAATACATGATTCATATTTACATACACATGTTTATTGCATATTGCAGTTAGTGTATTCATTTTATTTTGTGTTTTATTTCTTATGTATTTGAGAGTGAGCATGATTACACATATAACATTTTGCATCCTATTACATAAGACATAGCTTTGCCTATGTATTCTACATCATTCCTGAGACCCAGGACTTTCATCGATACAGAAAACAAGTGGAACAATTGGGTTTTCGAACAGGATTAAGTTTTTGGCAATTCTCTGACTTGAACTCAGGGCCTAGCAGGCCCACTTCATGAATGGTTAAATGTTAGCACACCAGTCTGATGCAAGTGAAGTTGGCAGGCCAATTTGAGGACCTGAGATCAAGCCCTAGGAATGGCCAATATATAAACAGGTAGATGTTTAGATTGCAGTGTGTGTGTGTTTGTTTGTGTGTGTGCGTGCATGTGTGTGTGTATTTACATATGTATATGCATCTATAAATATATACAGAGAGAGACAGATAGACATTTATGTAGAATCTAGTGTATAACCCAATATAAAGAGTGTTGTCTGTACCTTATTTTTATATATTCTATTACTACCAATTATTTGGTATAAAATTATGCTTCCAATTATCATGGTAGAAGAATTAACAAAGTATTAATTAATCAATGACCTATATTTATTGCATACAATCTTATACTGGAATGACTAGCTAGTTAGTAATTCAATTAATAAATTTCAAATATTCTATTAATGTTCCTATAGATAGGAATGCGTTTCCTAGGATCTTCAGCTGTGTGTAGGTGGCAGTCCTAGGATCGATCTCAGGGCCTAGGTGTCTGGTTTGGCTCAGGCTTCACTGACAGCCCCTCAGCCATCATCCATGCAAGGTCACATACAATTTTCAAGCCAAGTCATTGAGACTCAGGAGGGTCACAGTGCTAAGGAAACAAAAGTAAAAACTGTTGTGTAACATTTCCTGGTTTATCCTCCTCCATTTTTGTTGGTTTAATGTATTTTTGCCAGTGCTGGGAGTTGAACTCTGGTCCTAGGATCCCTGGATCATCTGTGGGTGTAATAGTTGCACCACAGCCTAGGGTAATCATGGTTTAAGATACAATAAAATGTTTCCTTGAGCAAAAGGAGCTCAGGGAAAATGTCTAGGCTCACAGTTCAAGCCCAGGACCTGCCACAAAAAAAAGAGCCAGTAACTCCATGTGTCTGTGTATGTATGCATGCATTTGTGTCAGTGAAGATCCAGAGTTGCTATGAAGAACGGCACCCAGCTAGGAAATTTGCTTTGAATAGAATGATTTCATAGCACAGAGTGCTTTCAAGACAATCCATGTTTCGGGGCTCCCTCAGTGTTCCCAGTGTAGCCTAAGGGGTCTCCATACCCCAGGCTGCCAGAGGAAGTCGGCTTCATTGTTGGAACAGGCAGACAAAAAGTTTCACTTCTGTAAAGCTGCATAACAAACAATTCATCCGGGCAAATTAATGAGGATGAATGTGCGCAGGTTCTGAAGGTCAGGAGAAAAAGGCCTGTTTGTACCCCCAAGCTATCTCTCTCCCCAGTGGTCTGTTTTGATAGGAAACCTTCATTTGTGCCACCTTCTGTGGCAGGCCAAGTTCCCTGCACTCATGCTGTCTTTGTAAGACTATATTTCTGTGTTGAAACAAACTGCTACAATTAATTCAAGAGTCCTTCTGGCAGACAATTAGGGAGCTGAACATAATGGAATGATATATTATTGGCAAAGGTGCCTCCATGTGGTGTGTGTGTGTGTGTGTGTGTGTGTGTGTGTGCATACACCATTCCTGGTGTTTGAACTCAGGACCTAACTGAAGAGCTAAAGTAATTCCATTTTAAGATCAAGCCCCATGAGCTGTGCTGCCCTCAAAGTAACCCCCAAAGAGAGCTGTGCTGCCAAAGAGAAAAATAGTTCTCAGAAAAACCGCAGGTGGCCACCAACCCTGCCCACCTTTAAAGGACAGAACAGTTGCCCAGGTGTTCCAGCTGAAAAAGGGAAGTGTGATCAGGGTGGACATAAACCCCCTGAACTTGTGAACTTGCTTGTGTGGAAACCCCCTAAACTTGTTTGTTTGATACTATAAAAGCTGTGTCAATTTTATGCTTGGGGCCTCTTAGCATCACCACTTACCAAGTACACATAGGACCAAGCTCCAGCTTGCAATAAATGACTCTTTGCTGTTTGCATTGATCATGGTCTCTGGTGGTCTGAGAGGGGGCGTCTGAAATCTGAGCACTTTATGTGGGAGCTTGTCCGGGATAGCCCCCCCATAAGCCACACAGATACCTGATCAGCGAGTTGTCCAGCTAGCCGGTAAGAGGGGGTGCAGCTGCTTTATGTTGCGTGTTATGTGTTTGATTTGCAAGTAGGGTTTTAGAGCTGGCAAGAAACGTTGGTAGATGTGCTACCAGCAGGCGAGTTGAAGAAATTCCCTGGGACCTTGGGGAAGCCTTCCCCAGTGGAGTCTTGCTTCACTCTGTCGTCTTTTGGACCATGACTTGTCTGGCCTCTGCTACTCTGGGTTAAGGGTAGATTATCCACCTCCCGGGTAGGGACTCATCGGCCTCCGCCATCCTATGGGACAGGAACTCGTCTGGCCTCCACAACCGTGGCTTAGGGGTGGATTCGAGCTCGAGATCAACATGCATGCTCTCTTTGTCTCATTTGTAGTTGCCATTTTAATTCAGCGCCTCTCTTTCTTTCCTTTCCTTGTTCATTTAACTTTCATTTTCGGATCAGCGGGCATCCTGGAGCCCCCCGAATGGGGTGGCCAGACGCTCCTTTCACCTCAGCCGCTCTCCCGTTTTAATATTTTGGAATTTTAGGATGACATCAAAGGTTGACTTATTCTCTAGAAGAGGAGGCAGTGGGGGAAGGGAGAACCTGCAGGATCTAGCAATAACTTTGAAAGGGGCCTGCAGGGAAAACTCTAAGCCAGATGAATCTGCCACTGACCACCAAGTGCCACCAGCAAGATCTTAGCCTCGGGCCTTGGCCCAGAGGGTCTGAGTATGGGGGGGAGACTGTCAGTCTGAGGGGATGGCTTCCAGGGTCTTTTTTCCCTTGCCCCAAGATGACTGAGAATTCTCCTCCACCTTGGAAGGCCTCTGGATCAACATTTGCAGGAATCTAAAAAAAAAAAAGAAAAAAAGAAATCCTCTGGTGGTAAGATGTTGCCCAATTCATGGAGATCTGATTTTGTCTTTGTGGCCACTTGTCTGTCTTGTTTACTTTGGTGTCGTTTCTGTTCTATTTTTGAGGTGGGGAAATTCTGGGTGAGGGTGGCCAGCTCACTCAGCAGTTTCTGAATTCAGCTTGCTGATTGAGAATGGCGCAGTTCTAGTAGGAATGAACTGAGGGCCCATTAGTCCCCAACTCTGCTTTTGGCTGTTGTCTAGTTCTGTTTTAGAATTGGTACCTGTTTTAAGTGTGGATTCTTGGTTTTTGTGTTTATTTATATTTTTGTTATTTATTTGAACATCTCTGAGGAAATAAAAGTTCTAGCCTCTGGCTGGGCTCAGCCACAGACCTGCTAGGCTCGCGTCACTGTGAGGTATGTAAGGTTGCTGGACTAGTCTGGTTCCTTTCAGGTCTTGGGCTGAATTTTCTCCTTGTGGAGGCTGCCTGAGCAGAGAGTGTGGAAGGCTATGTACCTGGTTTGGATTTTTCAGCGAGTCCTGACAATGTAACAATTTGTAAAGTGCTCTTGTCTAAAATTGGATAAAATTCAGGCCAGTTTAATTTTAGGTGACCCCTTCAACCAGCCCTTCTCCAACAGGTGGGATTCAAAAGATCCGTTGATGAATTGCCTTGCTAAACAAGCGAGCCCTGGGAAAATGAAGCTTAACAAAGGTACTTAGTTTAAAAAAATACTTTCTTAAATTTTTGTTAAAAAAACTTTGAAAAAATCTATGTAAAACTGATTTTGATTTATGCACGCTTTAAGATCTGTGTGTTTTCTATGTGTTTGTAAACATGTTCAAGATAAAAATTGTCAACATGCTGTAAAAATTGGGTGAATTTAAGTTTAAAATGTAAAAGGTTAAGAGGTTTAGACATTACTAAAAATTTAAAAAACTTTCACATTGTTTTAAATGGCTTTTTAAGGATTCTTTAAGGTAAAAATTAGAAAATCTGTTATTTTAAATTTTAATATTTTTAAATGCTTTGGCAGTTTGGGATTTAGTTCCCTTGGCTAAAATTTCAGGATAAATATTAAAAATTTAAATGGAAAGGTCAATTTAGCACTGTTACAAAACATGACATGTTCTGTCTGTCTAAAACTGTATTTTATTCAAACCTCCCTACCCCCCAAAAAAGGGAAAATTTAGAAGACTACCTAAGATCTATATTTAGGGGTGAGGCTGAATAGGCAGAAGTGTAGTTAAGGTGGTCATGCATGGTGGGACCGACCCAGGGGTGGGGTGCTTCATAGATGGTGGGACTGGCCCTGGGAGGAGTCCACACATGGTAAAAGAGGGCAAGCTGGCACAAACGCAGTTCATCTAACCTTAAAGAGTCAGATTGGGTGCAGGCACATTCCATAGGAGGGGCTGAGTTGCCCAGCTTTGTTCTGTCCCTTTTCCCTGCAGATAGACCCTGAAAACATGATGGTTAAAATGAGTGATGTGATGATCTGATTAGTATTGCTAAAACTGCCCCTTGTATGTGTTAAAATTAAAATTAAAATGGCCTTCAAAAGAGGGTTAAAAAGTTTATTTGTATAATGTAACTTGCTTTCAATGATGTTCTACAATTAGGATGTTTTTAAAAGTTATAAAGGTGTTAAGCCTAGCTTCTTGGCATAGTAATGGTGATTGTAATTATTTTTTTTCTAGATTATTATTTGTTTTTATTGTGAAAATACTGTACAAAGGGGTTACAATTACATGGGCAAGATAATGAGTATATTTCTTATCAAGCATTGTAGCATCCTCCTTTGTTTCCCCTTCCCATTCCATCCTTCCCCTATCCCCCCATTCAAGCCTCCAATCACCCCCCACAAACTTTACAACCAAAGTTGTAAAGTTCGTTTTCGACATAACGACTTGTACATCTCATTGTTGCAATATTTCCACCTGTATCTCTATTTAAACGATTCGTTTTTTCCCTTACCCTCCACAAATTATACTAACATCAAATACAGTGAAAGCAGGGGTTATACAATGGGGGAGGGACATACAAAGCAACAAAGATATCATCTTTGTTAGAAACAAATCTGTGTTAGAAACAATCGCATGAAAGAAAACAGCATTTGAGTACATATTTAGGGTTCATTTCCCTAACATAAATTTATCTGAGCTTTTCTGCTTGATTCAGACATATACTATTTATTGGAAATAAGGAAAACCATGGGACCTATATTTCTTTGGGCCTGGCTTACTTCACTTAATATAATTTTTTCCAAGTCTTTCCATGTACCAACAAATGGGGCAATGTCATTCTTTATGATGGACTCAAAGAATTCCATTGTGTGTGTGTGTGTGTGTGTGTGTCGCATTTTCTTGATCCATTCATCTACTGAGGGGCATCTGGGTTGGTTCCATATCTTAGCTATGGTAAATAATGCTGCAATAAACATATCGTGCTGGTACCTTTAGTGTGGTCTTGTTTGTGAACATTTGTGTAAATGCCCAAAAGTTGGATTGCTGGGTCATAGGTGAGCTCTATGTGGAGTCTTTTGAGGAACCTCCATACTCCTTTGCAAAGAGGTTGAACAAGTTTACACTCCCACCAACAGTGCAGTTGGGTTTACTTCTGTCCACATCTCCTCCAGCATCTGTTGTTATTAGAGTTTTGATTATAGCCATTCTACCTGGGACGAGGTGGTATCTCAATGTTGTTTTGATTTGCATTTCTTTTATGGCTAGGGAGGTTGAGCATTTCTTAAAGTATGTATTGGCCCTTTTTCATTCCTCTTCAGAGAAGTTTCTCTTTAAGTATTTAGCCCACTTATTTATTGGGCAATTGTTTCTTTGAAGATTTGTTGTTGGGGGATTTAATTTTTTGAGTTCCAGGTATGTTTTAAATATGAGACCCTTGTCTGTTGTTGTATGGTTAGTGAAGATCTTCCCCAATCCGTGGGCTTTCTATTGATCTTGCAAGCTATGTCCTTTGCCATGCAGAAGCTCTACAATTTCATGTAATCCCATTTTGTCCAACCTTTCTTTAATTTGTTGTCTTTCTGGGTCTCTATTAAGAAAATTTCAGCCTGTGCCAAGGAGACAAAGGGTTTCTCCTATTCCATCCTGTAATGTTTTCAGTGTCTGCTTTGACTCTGATGTCTTTGATCCATTTGGAGTTGATTCTCATGCAGCGTGATATATAAGCATCTAGCTTTAGTTTTCTACAAGTAGTTAACCAAGCCAGCACCATTTACTGAAGAGGCTGTCTTTCTTCCATTTTATTTTTTTAGCCCCTTTATTGAAGATTAAATGGCTATAGGTCTGTAGGTTCATTTCTGGGTTTTCAATTCTATTTCATTGCTTCTGAGGTCTGTTCTTGTGCCAGTAGCAAGCTGTTTTGATTACTATGGTTTTATAGTCGAGTTTGAAATTTGGTATTGATATTCCTCCAGCACTGTTCTTTCTATTGAGGATAGTTTTAGCTATTCGGGTTCTTTTATTGTTCCATATGACTTTTTGGATTGCTTCTTCTATTTCTTTGAAGAATGAGGTGGGAATTTCGATAGGTGTTGCATTGAATTTGTAGATAGCCTTGGGAAGTATTGCCATTTTCACGATGTTGATTTTTCCAATCCAGGAGCATGGGAGTTTTTGCCACTTCTAAGTTCTGTTTTGATTTCCTTTTTCGTTTTTAACGTTTTCATCATTGAAGTCCTTCACTTCTTTGTTAAGTTAATTCCTAGGTATTTTATTTTTTTGTGGGGCTATTACAAATGGAGTTGCTTTCCTAATTTCAGCAACACTTTACTCATTGTTGGCATACAGAAAAACCATTGATTTTGGGGGGTTAATTTTATACCCTGCTACTTTGCCAAAGTTTTAAATCAACTTGAGTAATTTGGGAGTGGTGTCTATGGGATTCTTTAAATACAAGATCATGTCATCTGCAAAGAGGAAGAGTTTTATTTCTTTTTTCCCTATTTGGATCACCTTTATGTTTGCATCTTGTCTTATTGCTGTAGATAAGAATTCTAATACTAGATTGAAGAGAAGTGGTGATAGTGGACATCCTTGTGTTGTTCCTGAGTTAAGAGGAAATGACTTTAGTTTTTCACCATTAAGTATAATGCTGGCTGTAGGTTTGTCATATATAGCCATTATTGTATTGAGGAATGTTCCATGGATTCCTAATTTTTCCAGAACCTTCATCATAAAGGGGTGTTGGATCTTTTCAAATGCTTTTTTTTGCATATATTGAGATAATCATGTGGTTCTTATCCTTGCTCTTGCTTATGTGATGAATTATATTAATTGATTTGCGAATATTGACCCAGCTTTGCATCCCTGAAATGAATCCTGTTTGATCGTGGTGTATGATTTTCTGGATGCGTTGTTTAAGACGACTGGCCAAAATTTTGTTGAGTTTTGCATCAATGTTCATCAAAGTAATGGGTCTACAGTCCTCTCTCTTTAATGAGTCCCTGCCTGGTTTTTGGATGAGGGTTATCATAGCTTCATAGAATGAGTTCAGTAGTGAACTTTCTCTTTCAATTTTATTTAAGAGTTGGAGAAATATTGGTGTCGGCTCTGTTTTGAAGGCCTTGTAGAATTCCACTAAAAAACCATCTGGTCCTGGGCTTTTCTTAGATGGGAAGTCTCTTATTGCTGTTTCTATGTCAATCCTTGATATGGGCCTGTTAAAATGGTTTAACTCATCTTGGTTCATTTTTGGCATGTCAGTATTTGCTAGGAAAAGTCCCATTTCTGCCAAGTTTTCAAACTTATTAGCATAAAATTTTGAGAAGTATTCCCTTATAATGTTCTGTATCTTGGTTGTTTCTTATCTCTGCATTTATTTATTTGGGTGCATTCTCTTCTTTTTCTGATAAGATTTGCTAAGGGTCTGTCAATTTTATTAATTTTTTTGAAGAATCAACTCTTTGGTTTGTTGATTCTTTCTATATTTTTTGGATTCTAATTCATTTAATTCTGATTTAATTTTAATTATTTCTTTCCATCTACTGGATTGGGGTTTATCTTGCTCCTCTTTTTCAAGAAAGCTCAGATGTCTCATTAAATTGTTGGTTTCAGATCTCTCCAATTTGTTGATGTAGGAACTCAGAGCTATAAACTTTCCCCTGAGTATTGCCTTTGCTGTGACCCAGAGAAGCTGGTAATTTGCATGTTCATTGTTGTTGAATATCATGAACATTTGAATTTCCTTTCTCATCTCTTCCATGACCCACTCGTGAATCAGCAGTGTGTTGTTCAGCCTCCATGTGTTACACGATTTTCTTTGGTGGCTTTTGGTGTTGAGTTCTAATTTTATTCCCTTGTGGTGTGAGAGAACGCAAGGTATAACTTCAATGTTTCTGAATTTGGACAAGTTTGCTTTGTGGCCTAAAGTGTGGTCTATTTTGGAAAATATTCCTTGTGCTGCTGAGAAAAACGTATATTCTGATGCTGCTGGGTGGAATATTCCATAGATGTCTGTTAAATCTAGTTGATCTATGCAGTTTTTTTTTTTTGTGTGTGTGTGTCTTTTCTTTTCTTTTTTTTTTTTTTGGTACTGGGGATCAAACCCAGGACGTTGCACTTGCTAGGCAAGCGCTTTGCCACTGAGCTACATCCCAGCCCAGATCTATGCAGTTTTTTAGATCTCCATTTTCTCTGTTGAGTTTTTCTGAGTTCATCTATCTAGTGGGGAAAGTGGTGTGTTAACGTTCC